CGTAAACGGTACAACCACAATGTAAAGATAAAAAGAATCCGTAAATGGTACAACCATCATGAGGAGGTAAAAGAAGACCGTCAATAGTACAACCACCATGTTAAGGTAACCCCGTCACTGGTACATACACCATGTAAAGGTAAAAAGAAACCATCAATAGTACAACCACCATATCAAGGTAAACCCGTCACTGGTACATACACCATGTAAAGGTAATAAGAAACCATCAATAGTACAACCACCATGTCAAGGTAAAAAGAACCCGTAAATGGTACAACCACAATGTAAAGGTAATCCCTTCACTGGTACATACACCATGTAAAGGTAATAAGAAACCATCAATAATACAACCACCATGTTAAGGTTACCCCGTCACTGGTACATACACCATGTAAAGGTAAAAAGAAACCATCAATAGTACAACCACAATGTAAAGATAAAAAGAACCCGCAAATGGTACAATTACAATGTAAAGATAAAAAGAACCCGCAAATGGTACAACCACAGTTTAAAGATAAAAAGAACCCGCAAATGGTACAACCACAATGTAAAGGTAAAAAAAACCGCAAATGGTACAACCACAATGTAAAGGTAAAAAGGTCCCGGCATTGGTACAACTACCATGCAAAGGTAAAACTAACGTCAATGTACAACCACCAAGTAAAGGTAAACTGAACCAGTTACTGGTACAACCACCATGTAAAGGTAAAAAGTACCTACCAACTGTACAATCACAATATAAAGATAAAAAAAAACTTCAATGGCTCAACCACCAAGTAAAGATAAACAGAACCAGTTACAAAAAAACACCATGTAAGGATAACAAAATATGTAAATGGTACAACCACATTGTAAAGGTAAAGAACCCGTCATTGGTACAACCTCCCAGCAATTTAAGGTAAACAGAACCAGTAACTGGTACAAGCACCATGCCGATAGAACTGATTGTTTCTCGTTTTTTCTATGCTTGTTTCACCCTGAAAGTCCTACTATAAATCAATTATAATATGTTTGACCTGGTCTTCATAACTTTCCACGCATTTATCCAATATGGCATGTCAAACGGTCTTTCAATTTTATGGTATTGATTTCTGTATTTTTTTTTTTAGTTGTCACTGGTTTCTTAATTTTATATTTTTAAGATGAACCAGAACATTTCTATTTTTGTCCCCGAACAGCGCAATGCGGGGGAAATAGAAATCCAGACGTCCGGCCTTTCGTTAGGTCTTGTAAGAACTTTCACTTGTACAATTCTTGCCAGATGTTCATGAAATTAAATCAAAGTTTATATCAACAATGTCTCAGATAAGATGGTTAATCAGTGCCAAACAACTATGTTTACTGGTTTTATATGGAAAATTGCATTGTAAGCACATGCAAGCCTACATTTCTTGTATAAAATTGAGAATGGAAATGGGGAATATGTCAAAGAGACAACAACACGACCAAAGAGCAGACAACAGCCGAAGGCCACCAGTGGGTCTTCAATACAGCGAGAAAACCCCGCACTCGGAGGTGGTCCTCAGCTGGACCCCAAATAAAACTGTGCACCAGCCCAGTGGAAATGGACGTCACACTAACTCCAAAAAATATAAATGATCTAAAATAAAAAAAACATACAAGACTAACAAAGGCCAGGGGCTCCTGACTTGGGACATGCGCAAATATGCGGCGGGGTTAAACATGTTTTGTGAGATCTCAACCCTCCCCTATACCTCTAGCCAATGTAGAATCAAGAAACAAATAGCAATACGCACAGTAAAACTCAGTTCAAAAGAAGTCCGAGTCCGATGTCAGAATAGGTAACAAAAGTAGCCTGGGATCCTGGCCAACTGCTTGAGAGAGGCCTATCGACGAAGTATTAGATTGGGTCAGGATGCCAGGCTAACAAAAGAAACTAAGCAAAATGACAATGATACATAAATGAACAAAGGACTACTAACAGTTACTGACATGCCAGCTCCAGACCTCAATTAAACTGATTGAAAGATTATGTCTTCATAATATGAAAATCAAGTACAATCCCTCCCGTAAGGGGTTTTGTATCATACCATCATAAAATATATGAGAAGAACATAACCCGTATCATGCCAATAACTGGTTTTAGAATAAATGTGTTTATTTCCGATGCAAAGACCCTATGAGTGAATCAATATTAATATCAAAATATGCAATCCTTAATGACTTGACAACAGTATCGTAACAATATCCTTTCCGAATAAGGCTGTTTAAAGGTTTGGTTAGCTTTTGAGGTGAATGCCGAAATTTTTGTGCTTTGTAAAGAATATTACCATAAAATATTGGTTGTGAAATACCCGAACGTTTATATAAGATGTCTGCATGTTGATTTATATTTACGAATGATGTCCTTGTACCGATGATAAAATTTAGTAAATGTTTTGACTAGTTTGTGATATCGAAAACCCTGGTGTAATAATTTTTCAGTAATACAGGGATTTCTTTCGTTCAAATCAAATACGTTGTTACACACACGATCGAATCGAACAAGTTGAGATATATAAACACCATAAGATGGTGACAAAGGAACGTCATCATCTAAAAATGGATAATTAACAATAGGAAATGAAAATCATCTCTTTTATCATGAATTTTGGTATTAAGTTTCCCGTTAAAGATATAGATATCAAGATCCAGGAAAGAGCAGTGTTCATTGTTAGTATTAGCTTTATTTAAAGTCAGTTCGGCAGGATAAATCTCTTTAGTGTACATACCGAAGTCGTCATTATTGAGAGCCAATATATCATCTAAATATCTGAAGGTGTTATTAAATTTTTGAATCAGATGTTGTTTCGATGGGTCTTTGCTGATTTTAGTCATAAATTGTAACTTATAACAATACAGAAACATGTCCGCAATAAGTGGTGCACAGTTAGTCCCCATGGGAATTCCGATAAACTGACGATATACGGAATCTCTTAGCGAGCAAAAATGTTATCTAGTAAAAATTCAAGGGCAGTTATAGAATTAAAGCAGGTCAAATTGACATAGTTCTTTTGTTTGTTGTTACTAAAAAATGACCTAAAAGAGTCATATATTCGCATTCCGACTTTTTAAATGCCCATTTAATCAGGTGTGTGAATATTTTCTTAATTAGATTATGAGGCAAAGTGGTATATAGGTATATTGTATGATTGTTATGACATTTATATCAAAGCTGTATATCAGCAATGTCACAGATGAGTTCGAAAATCAACGCTGATCAATTGTTTTTACAGATGTAATGTCCCTTCGAAATGTAATGTATGTTGCACATTATATTGAAAGCATACTCACACCTACCTTCTTGTCGGATTTTTATGAAATGTATATCAGCAAGGTCTTTGAAAAGTGCCGATCAACTATTTTAACAAGAGTTATGCACCTTAGAAATAGAAATAATATGGACAATAACATTGTTAGCGATTTCATGCCGGCATTTCTTATAGGATATTTATAAAAAAAAAAATAAAAGAACCACAAATATTTTGGAGTTATTGCTCTTGGACAGATAAAATAATTGCATCGGCTGGGGACATTGAAACGCTGTTCCTTCTCTTGTGTTTTCTTCTCTTGGTGTGAATTCACAGGCACTTAATTATCTCTGAAAAAATCACCTGTATACTAAATATGTTAAATAGATATACGAAGATGTGGTATGAGTGCCAATGAGACAACTCTCCATCCAAGTCACAATAGATATACGAAGATGTGGTATGAGTGCCAATGAGACAACTCTCCATCCAAGTCACAATAGATATACGAAGATGTGGTATGAGTGCCAATGAAACAACTCTCCATCAAAGTCACAATAGATATACGAATGAGAAAACTCTCCATCCAAGTCACAATAGATATAGGAAGATGTGGTATGAGTGCCAATGAGACAACTCTCCATCCAAGTCACAATAGATATAGGAAGATGTGGTATGAGTGCCAATGAGACAACTCTCCATCAAAGGCACAATAGATATACGAAGATGTGGTATGAGTGCCAATGAGACAACTCTCCATCCAAGTCACAATAGATATACGAAGATGTGGTACGAGTGCCAATGAGACAACTCTCCATCCAAGTCACAATAGATATACGAAGATGTGGTCTGAGTGCCAATGAGACAACTCTCCATCCAAGTCACAATAGATATAGGAAGATGTGGTATGAGTGCCAATGAGACAACTCTCCATCCAAGTCACAATAGATATACGAAGATGTGGTATGAGTGCCAATGAGACAACTCTCCATCCAAGTCACAATAGATATACGAAGATGTGGTACGAGTGCCAATGAGACAACTCTCCATCCAAGTAACAATTGTAAAAGTAAACCGTTATAGGTCAAAGTACGGCCTTCAACACGGAGCCTCGGCTAACACCGAACAGCAAGCTATAAAGGGTCCCAAAAATGACTAGTGTAAAACCATTCAAACAGGAAAACCAACGGTCTATTTAAAATAAAAAGGAGAAACAAGAAACTCTTAGGAACCACATCAACAAACGACAACCACTGAACACCAGGTTCCTGCCTTAAAGTAGATAAGGAATTTGTTGACAAGTGCCTGTGTGTTATTTGCTAATATTTGTCCCAGAAAATTAATGAAAAAAAACGAGTTGTAACCGTCAAATTAATGCATTGTTATATTGTCTTCTTGAGCTGGAGATTTCAACAAAGTTTAGTTCAGATTTTTGTAATTTGCAAAGATGAAAACGTGACTGTTACATACATTGTACCAGAATTTATAGATTTGACCTGGAATGACATGGAGCTTCCTGATATAATGCAATAAGAATTCTATTCAACTTGCACTGAATTTCAGATCAATGATCCGTATTCTAGTAGTTCTAATTCGACATTTAAACAAAACATAAATGTTTGATTGTCTGTTTTCGAAACACATGATAAAAGCGTCCTATAAACCTCAATTTAGAGACCATTTAAAGGTTATGAAAATATATAAAAGGAGTTTCCGACACTGCATAATCGTACCAGTATACAACATCGGAAGTAAGTTTCCTTTTCCAATTACACTGTAAACACGTCCGCATGGGATTAATGTCACACCAAACATGATGTAAATTTCATTAGGAAGTAATTTGAATAGACAAATATGGCCGCAAATATGATCACAGTAGTATTCATCATGTTTACACAGACAAGCAATGGTAAGAGAGCAATATTCTGGTTAAAAAATAGGCGCTTGCCTCTATACATGCATCCATCTTAGTTCTTTTGCTAGGAAAGTTTCTTTCATTATCTACTTCTTAATTGCATTCAATATTGCCTTTTTACTGCTGTTGTCAACACAGTATCCTTATCTAGGAGTGGAAATCAGATTGCTGATTGACATCAATGAGTGGAACCCAATACCATTGAGCAAGAAAATTAAAATGACAAAACACTAAAATCTCCTTCCTTTATAGCTCTAAATTTCTATTCTTTTGTGTGGTCTACGTTGATATAAAAACAAGAAGATGTGGTATGATTGTCAATGAGACACATCTCCACCAAAGACCATGTGATGTAGATGTAAGAGACTATAAGTTACCGCACTGCCTTCAACATTGAGCAAAACTCATACCGCATAGCAAGCTATAAAAGATCCCGAAATGACAAATGTAAAATAATTCAAACGAGAAAACGATTTATGTATAAAAAAATTAACGAAAAACAAAAATAATATACGGCAACACACGACAACTGCTGAATTACAGGTTCCTGACTTAGGACAGGCACATACAGAATGTGGCGGCGATCAACATGTTTGAATGCGCCAAACCTCCCCTGACCTGGGACAGTGGTGTAAAGACACAACATAAGAACAAACTACAGATCAGTTGAAAATGGCTTAAGTCATCAGATCTATACAAAGCAGAAAAACAACTAACAAAAACACATACCGGACGTGGCAATGAATCTCCCTAAAAAAAACACAAAGTACAGACCTGAGAGTACTCACAGTTACTGACAGCTAGTTCAAAGCCAATAACTAATAAAAAAATCATGTATCTAAGACTAAAATATCAATCAGTACATATCCAACATCCAATGGATTTAAGTGTAAATACGTCATTAAAAGTCAGAGAATAAAATGACCTTGTGCAATGCCAAAATATAGATATCGACAGATTGTACACCGTAAGATGGTGCCCGAAGGAGCATTACCGTCCCTAAAAAGGAACATTAACAATAAGGAAGGAAAAATCGTCCCTAAAAATTAGTGTAAAGTTTCCCGTGTAAAACTGAAATATCTAAATCTTGGAAAAGACCGTTATTACCGTTTATATTTCATTTATTCAAAGTAAGTTCCTTTAAATTCTGCAGTATATTTAGAAAACTCTTGATAATTTAACGAATAAATATTATCAAGATAACGGTAAGTGTTGCTGAATTTATCAATTAAATGAAATTTAGACGGGTCTTTATTGAATTTGTCCATAAAGTGTGATTCATAACAGTGTAACAACAATTCTGCTATAAAAACCTGCATTTACAGCTCTCTCAGGCAAAGTTGACCTTAGACGGATGTGGCTTTTATTTTTATATCCTTCTGGTCATATAGCTCTACAACTGTTTCAGTTCTTATACATCATTGGCTATCAAATATTCGGCTTTGAGCGTTCCTGATGAAGGTGAATCAAAAAGAGTCCTTCGGGTGCATGAAATTTACAAAGTGTTGTTTTCATTTTTTAAACATTTAAACAAACAGTTAAAATAAATAAAAATATAAAATCGTATGGCATATGGTAATTGAAATCATAACTTTACATTCACTAGATATAAGAAGATGTGGTATGAGTGCCAATGAGACAACTCTCCATCCAAGTCAAAATTTATAAAAGTAAACCATTATAGGTCAAAGTACGGCCTTCAACACGGAGCCTTGGCTCACACCGAACAGCAAGCTATAAAGGGCCCTAAAAATTGCTAGTGTAAAACCATTCAAACGGGAAAACCAACGGTCTAATCTATATAAAAAAGGAGAAACGAGAAACACTTATGAACCACATCAACAAACGACAACTACTGAACATCAGATTCCTGACTTAGGACAGGTGCAAACAATTGCAGTGGGTTTAAACGTTTTAATGGCACCAAACCTTCACCCTTATCTGAAACAATAGTGTAACATCACAACATGAAAAGACACACTATAAAATATCAATTGAAATGGCTTAACTCAATCAAAAGACATATTAACACCAGTGAACATGCACTGAAACTAACTGTTTCTATTAAAAGCTCTAAATTGGAATTTAAACTTAAATGTCGTATTTCCATGTGTAACATACCTGTTTACCAAACATCTGTTACATGTTTGTGCATTCAAGGTTCCGAGGAACGATTAAAAATTACTTGTTATTTTTGTACAAAGCCCTTTTGGGTGAATACTACTGGAAATCTGCTGTAATAGTTTGTATCACTACAAAGGATATAAATGAAAATGGGAGTTGGAGTATACGCCAATGAGACAATAACCCAACAACATAAAAACAAAAAGACAGCCAGATGTAAAAAAAACGGTCTTCAATAATAGTCTTTTGGTTTTATTGTTAGATAATTGTTTTCATTACTTTATTTTAGCTGCAACTATTACACCGACTATCGGAGAAACGGGATCTGGTGACATAGATGACCAAAGTATCCCAACAAAAAACTTCACTAATAAATATCATTCAACAGAACAACTTGAAGCCATTATGAGCACATCAGTTAAACCCCAGCCTTTTTCGGGTCAGAATATAAACCATACTATGGAAAATAGTACTAGTGTTGAAGCGTCAGAAAATATTCTATCATCATCAGCTTTTGTGGAAGAAACCACGTCTACCGTTACATCAGACATAGTGACATCAGCTAACAATGAGATCACCATAACGCTCTTACCTTATTCATCCACAACTAAAAAGAGTTTAATCACTTCGCCAATTATAACATCAATCAAAACACAGAGCACAACACCAGATTTAACAACAGAATTACGCAGTGAAACGGACGCAATGAAGAGACCTACGACATATATTCGCAATGAAACTTACATAACGAAGAGTCCGACAACATATCTGCGAGATGAAATAGACATTACCAAGAGACCGACAACATATATGCGAGAAACGGACGTTACCAAGAGACCGACAACATATATTAGCGTGACTTCTTCTTCAATAGAACCATCTATTGTTGAAAATGAAACCACAAAGTCCTTATATACAGACAATACCGTAACCGAAAGAACATCTAATTATACTGTAGAAAATGTTCATTCAACTGAGGATATCTACTCAAATAGTACTTTGGGTTTTGTCAAATCAACAATCACAACAACTAAACCATCGGACATTTCACAGACTGCTTCCTTTTCAGATATCACAACAGCAAAAATGAGCAATGTCAGCAAAAACAAAGAAATAGGAACAGAAGACGATAATCTACTTCTTCATCTCGCTTATATATTACCAAGCGCTTTTGTTTTACTATTGGCAGTTTTAATTAGTGGTGTATGCCTTTACAGGTTTGTTATAAGTAGTATTAGAATAGTGTAAATGCGACTTCACCACTACATAAAAAAAATCAACTTGTACACTCAAATATATCCCTACCAAAAGATAAACAAAGCAGAAAATAATTTATCACAACAAATATAATAAACCAACAACACTAAAAGTTAAAGCTCTCTCTCACAAATACAGGTATCAGATCATATATACACCATAATAGGCAATAAAATGGCATGTTATAATATAACCTTTCTGAATATGAGAATCAACTAATATATAGGATCATTTAATACAATCAAAATAGTTTGACTTAGTATAGCACTTTCCCCTAATATACAGTTTTCTTAAATCTTTTGTTCAAACAACAATAACAGAAAATTACTTTCATAATTACAAAGTTAAGCAACCAACAATCAATCAATCAATCAATCATAATTAGAAAAACCAGAAATAATATTTAAAATTCTGAAGGTATGCCGAAAAAGTTGTACACGCAAAAAATACCAATGTTAATTTCATTATTTGATATATTAAAACAAATAACGCTTAATGACAAAAGATACGAGCATCTTAGGCAATAGTTGTGTTGCTTAATCTTACGATAATATCAAGTTGACAAGTTTACTAAAATCTAACAATATTTATGTCAGCCAAATACATGTAAAAGAGGAACTTATAATGGTCTTATAACTTCAAGTCGTACGTATTACTTATGTTGTATCATTGGTAATATAATATGTTCCTTTTATATTGTCCGTAAAAATAATTACAACGATATCTGTAAGCTACAAGAGAACAAACTAATATTTATTCAGTATATTGTTTATTAAAAACACCATTAATGCAACCTAAGTGATTATAGATAATATTTTTTTAAATTTTGTTTTAGGTATAAAAGAAGGAAAAAAGCAGAGGACATACATGGTGGTTATGTTCAAAAACGTCGCAAAATTTCTTCAACTCCTGCTTTTATGCAACAAAATATGAATGCTTTGGCATATCAATTTCAATCTCGTGATTCAAAAGTACCGTCTGCATTCAAAACAAAACTCGGAAACCAGGGAAATGGTTTTGAAGAAATAGAATTGAGCGAAGACAATCAAATTGCAGAACAAAATTCTGATAAAAATCAAAGAACAGTAGTAATGGAATCAAATTTTAACCAAAAAAGTAAGGACAGAAGTTTTTTCACAACCCTAGTAGAAAATGAACAAAAATATGATACAGATGACACTCCACCACTTCCTGGAAAAGGTAACAAGATTCAAAATGTTACACATGACACATCGGCTTCCCACTACGACGTTCTTCCTCTAAGAGAAAGTTTACCGGTAAAACAACGAAGACAAAATTCAATAGACGAAATACAAGGGTTATCAAGAAACATGTACAAAAACCCAGAATACGATGTATTACCTCTTCGAACATTTACACACAATCAATTACCGACCGACTCCCAAGATAGAACATTTTTAGAAACAACAAAGAAAGATATTAACTCAATATACAGTGTTCCAACAGGAAGGGAAACAAAACTGTCAATTGAAACTTTTAATGTCCCCGATGAAGTGTTCAGAGACGATACAAGTGCATCCGGCAGTAAGAGTGAAACTGAAACTGAACAAGACATGACAGAACTTGATATGTTTGAAAACAATGCTGTTGATAAATTGAAACGTCGTGAGCCAGCTGTACGTGCGCCGTCATTTGTGGCACTACCGAGAGCAGCATCCGGGTCTTTAAGAACAGCATTGTAATAATTAAACATTAAAGTATTTGTTTTTGTTAGTCTATTATCTCATAAACAATTCTGGTTAAACCAGAGAGAAAATGGTAACTTGTGAATTAGTTTAAGATCACGTTAAACAAAATTACCGTATCGACCTTCTTGTGATTGTCAAGATGTTTTGGTTATTATTACTTTAAAGTATATTATATAATTGTGATAAGGACGTTAATTTATCACAAAGGAAATAATGCGTTCAAAAATCAGTCAAGACCGAAACAACCAGAAAAAAAAACCCACTATACAATTAATCAAGAGTTGTATTCTTACGAAATGAAAAACTACAGTAAAATGTAATCTTGAGCAAAAGGACATCCAGGAGAGATACCAGTTGCTCCTAATATGCAAACATGAATATCCTAATCATGTTCCCAATGAAGCAAACGTCAGTAAGAGTCGAATATTAAGTCGACCTAATCAACATGAGGTCAATACAATTTCAGTGTACAACAACCTTAATCCATTTCTCGAGATTGGCTGGATAAACTACAACCTGTCTACAAAATAGTTTTGGTATCAAATTAAATAATTATTTCTATATAGTAACAGGGCGCAACATGGTGCCTCTATTAAATTGGAAATACAAAAAGACATACGAATAAACGGGATGTGGGATAAAAATCGACAAAACAGAATCCCGACAACACAGTAAAATTAGAAAATAATAAAGATTAGCATATCGTCGTCGAAAATGTTTTACAATATGTCAGGCTTTAATTCGACCGGAGTCTTGAACAGTTGTAAATAAATTTAAGAGAAACTTCCAAATATCCGTGACACTCAATGGTCAAAAAGTTTAAGCTATAAACCACATTAAAATAAGGAGATGAGGTTTGATTGTCAGTGAGACAACTATCCACAAAAGAAGTAAACCAACGGCCTGATTTATAACAAAACAATGACAAACAATAAACGAAAAACAAATATGACCCAAGACCACTAAGGGACGTCATCAAAAGTTCAATGTAGGATAAAAAACTTAATTCACATAGTTTTTTCACTGACCCCCCCCCCCCCCCCCTCTTAACTTAATTTGGGAAAAATTGATTGACCAATATGGATATATGTAAAATCGATTTTGGATAAACAAAACTTGCAGCAATTTTAACCCCCCCCTCCCCCCAAACTATTTGATTTAAGTTTTTAATCCTACATTGATCTTTTGATGTCGTCCCTAACTACAACCACTTTTTACAGGCTCCTGACTAAGGACAGGCACATAAAGAAAACTGGTAAACAAGCTGATATTTTGGTCATGGATTTTTTAAAAGCGTTCGATAAAGTTTCACATTTTTTTCTCATAAACAAACTTCATTATTACGAGATACAGGGGGGATTAAATTTATGAACACAAAACTTCTTAAATAGTAGCAAGCAATCATTAGCTTTTTTTGTGGAAAGGGGGGAATCTGACTATGTAACAGTTGTGTCAGGGGGTCAGTTCTTGGACCAAGTCCTTTCCTGTACTACATAAACGATATTCCAACCGGTCTTACATCTAATGTGCGTTTATTCGCAGATTACACCATAGTTTATTCGGCAATAAAATCAAATCCTGATTGGTCCTTATTACAAAAAGATCTAGACAAATGAGCAACATATTGGCAAACTACATGGAAAATAGCATTTAACCCAGATAAGTGGAATGTTATTTCAGTCTCCAGAAATGTTAAAAAAAAAATAGTCTCATTTAACTACACATTGCACAACCACTTTTTAGACATCATTACAACAGCAACATATCCCAGGGTAACCATCAGTTCTAACTTATGGGATGAACACATAAACTACATATACAAGAAAGCTAATATCAATCTAGGCTTGCTAAGAAGGAACCTGAACATTAGCTCAACATCCATTAAAAGATAAGACATACATTTCCAGAGTAAGATCATCACTAGAGAATACTTGCTCAGTTTTCGACCCTTACTTAAAACAAGACTAAGGCATTGAAACAGTTCAAATGAATTGAAAAAAGTTCATAGAGGAGGGCTGCCCGTTTTGTAACCAACATATACAGAAACACCTCAAGCGTTGGTAACATGTTAAATCACCTTGAATGGCACAGCCTCTCTGACAGAAGAAGAGATTGGCGATTAGTAATGTTATACAAAATAAAACATGGAAAACTTACAATAGCTAAGAACAACAAATTCAGCTATTCACATTAAACTTATTGCACTTTTTTAATATTCACTTTCTTCAATTTTTAGTTTGTATAATTTTATCTTTGTCCTATTGTAAGTTATCCTCCTGTGACATAATCTTAAATTTGTTGAAAGTGGTAACTATATGGTAAAAGTAAAAGTAGAGGAATGTTGTCACTCAACCCTACCCTAACCTGGGACAATGGTTTAATAGCATAACATAAGAACAAACTGTACAAATCACATAAAACTAAAACGTCTAAACAGTTTTTTAACACTCCATAACTGATTTATTCCATTATTTTCATATGCTTTATTATAAAAGTTATTAACAAGTTCTTTAATTGTGGTAAGGGAAATTGGTAAAGCTCAGAATCGATCGATGAAACGATATTTGACGGGTATTTTTTTGGTAGTTTGGGTAGCAAATACATAGTAGGGACGTTCAATTATTCAGGTGAGGCCTTAAGCTGAGATGTGGTTGTCATCAGAGTGTTAACTTTATGGCACTTTGTAGAACGCACGGCCCTAGACGTAGATGAATTTTGTTTCATTCTTACGAACTTCCGTGTTGTATTTGCGCCATACCACTAACACATTGTTGGTTGCTTTTTTCGGTCGATACAAACACAAACTGCCTTGCGAGTACTTGAAATTTGCCTTTAATCCTAGAAATGGTAGTATTGAAAAACAACTTCTGACAATATCTTTAAAGGCATTTTAACATGTGACAATCGTTTCCGGTTTACCTCTAACAGTTGAATAAAAAATGATCTCAGAAAAATGAAAAAAAAACAAAATCAGTTCCGAAAAAAACACTCATCTTAATAAAATTGGTATCAAAGACGACAAGCAGTACAGACTACAGTTACAATCAGTTTGCTTATCCCGGCAAACATGCAGACCTCACTATAAAAGTTCTCATTGTCATTTCAAGACATGATTCAGAATCCTGGACCGGTCTGTTCCACTTCTTTTGTGTACTAATCGCAAGTAAGTGAGTGGTATATGTTACTCAAATGTGTCGGCAGATTGACATGATTTACATTTACAGTTTTTATGTAATTTGCAATTCCCTCAGGCAAAAATAAACCTTGAAGGTTTTGGCTATTATTTTGAGAGCCTTTTGAGTTGTATGCTTTCTAGACCTTTGGTTTCGAGTGTACCTGACATACTTTTCCCATACAAATCAGCATCATATTTGTTTTAACAAAGTAAACTATTCACTTTTTTTAGTAACATAATAAATCATTAAAATTCTACAGGTTTAATGACATATATCATCAACACAATAATATTATTATATTTCATTAAATTTTAAACATTGTATTGCGAATATTCTTGTGTAATATGTAATATAATTATTGTACATAAATGTTGAATATTTGAATAAAGATAAAAAAAAACCAAACAGGTGCAGGACATAACATACTTATTTTAGTAACAAAGTATACTATTTAAATTCTACAGGTTCAATACATACTACACTTATTTTAACACAGTAAACTATTTAAATTCTACAGGTTCAAAACACACTATATTAATTACTTATCAAAACCACACGACGTAAAACCTGTAAAACTTCATTTTTCATATCAATTCAAATGTAGCTACATGAATAATTTTGTTTCAAAATGACTGTGCTTCGTAAGCCTATATGGCTGGCTGAAAATATAAATGAGCATAACTTTTGTATATTATATTATGTCAATTCAGGTTTCACTTTAATAAATTATTTATTCATTCCTTCATTCATTCTACAGGTGCAAGACATTATATACTCATTTTAGTAACAAAGTGAACTATTTAAATTCTACAGATATAAGGCATAGTGTAATCACATAATATACTTATTTTATCACAAAAAAACTATTCAAATTCTAATCATAAGATATAGTGTCTGATGACTTAAAATACCTATTTCAAAATTTTACATTAACATACCTACTGCAGATTCAATGTAAAACTGTGTATTGTGTATTTCTTTGGAGACATTGAATGTAAGTATTACAGCTAATTGTTACACTGCGTGGCGGGATTTTGTATTATATGACAAACTGCCTTGTGATTTTCGTGGTACGTAATCAACTTTTGTCTCCCAAATGTCGTTCAAACCAACTTTTCCTGTATCATCTTCGTTGTTGTTATTCTTTCTTATGATGCATACGGTAAAGGCAGCAATCATTAGTAATATTCCCCCTAAAATGGCGGGAACTAATGAAAAGGAAAACGAAAAAGAAAACTCGGACTTTTGCTTCATTGTCTTCATGTGATAGTTTGTTGATATTGTTGCATACAGAATTCTGCCACAGCCGATCAATACTAATACACCTGTTAATGAAAGTATAATACAAATATCACTGCTGGAAATAACTAACCTGTTCCAGAGCATTAAAAAAATACCTTTTGGTCTCTGATGGGTAGTTGTCTCATTGACAACGACACCACATCTCCTTATTTTTATAATGATCCTTTCAACATAATTTTCAAAAGGAGGGTTGAGCATATTTCTGTAAAAGGGAGTTAGTAACCTGTCAAAAGTTTTTACGAAAACCAGAGCCTCGTTTCTTAAAAAGGTGTGTCTGTTAAAACCAGCGAAAGCATATAAAAATGCTCTGTTTCATACACCATCTGGATATGTAGAAACTACATGACAGCATGCCTTGAGGTCATACAGTTTTGAACACGATTATCGTACTCACACTCAGAAATCAACCAATCAAAATACTGTATTTGGTGTTTTTAGCACACATTTTGCACTCCGAATACTAAGTAATGTTTTGTGACCGAAGGCCCTGGCTTTCCATCTTTCTTATTCAAATTCACATTAGTCAACATGCTTTCTGTCAGTGTATGCATAAAAGGATAGAACGAGTCCCCCAAAAAATAGACAATACATCAAACTGACCACGCCAATAAACAACAACCGCCTTCTCCGAGAAAATAGACACCAAGACAACAACAAAAAAAACGAACAACACGTAGCCTGAATTGGTAAAGTCACAAACAAGGGAATTGGTAAAGTCACGAACAAGGGAATTAGTCAAACCAGTTTTACATGCGCACTAACCTCCCCTTTTTCTTATACATAGATCATATGTCGTAAAAGTAAAATGCACAATAAAAAACCTGCACAGTCTAGTTACCAATAGTATAACCACTAACTTACATATCGTAAACCCCGCTTGACTTTCAACAAAATTTTCCAAAAGGGGAAGGCAAGGGAAGGGAAAGGGGTGGCGATGAGGCAGCCGAAATATTTAATGACAATTCTGCAAAGGGACTTTGAAAAGATTTCACGGAACTAAGAACATGATTTTATAAAAGGTGCCGCTGTAATACATCTTTGGAAATATAAAAAGGCTTTTTGTCATATAGCTAGCTCTTCAAGTGTCTTAAACATGCGTGGTTTTCATCAAGTGTGTCGGTCTTAAACATGCGTGGTTTTCATCAAGTGTGTCGGTCTTAAACATGCGTGGTTTTCATCAAGTGTGTCGGTCTTAAACATGCGTTGTTTTCATCAAGTGTGTCGGTCTTAAACATGCGTGGTTTTCATCAAGTGTGTCGGTCTTAAGCATGCGTGGTTTTCAAATGTTTGTGTTTGAGCGTCCTGGTGAAGGTTAACCCAGGAAAACGCGCGGAATTTATAAAATCTTATTTTCATTTTCTCGACTTCTTACATAGCCATCATATGTAGAAACTGAACAAAAGTTTGCTGAAATCCAAAATAATAGTTATAAATCGGTTTTTTCAAAGATATCAATCACATGTGTATTAAAAAGTCTGTAGACATAGAGGCTTGATCCAAAGATGTTTGAAAAAATAACCTTTTGCACTTTCACCGCGTTTTGTTTGAACATCTATAAAATATCAACCACAAAAATTGTCTCCGTTTTAGAAGGGGGGATGTTTTATCTTTTTTAATTGGGTTGAGTACCCGTAGGCGTGAATAGTGGTTAGTTACATATTGTATTCTAGAACAATCTCAAAATTTTACGGAATACGATCATTTTGGAGAAATTTCATCTGCGTGAACAAATAACGCACGTCTAATTTGAAAAAGAAGTAAGGCTGAATAATGTGTATAAACTGGGAACAGTATATTTAACAATATATATGTTCTTGGTATAAACAAGAGACATATATAGTAATATATTTGTCTCTGTGAAAACTGACGAAAGATTGTAACATAGAATTATTTGTAAGGTATTATATCATTTTACAGGATACTACTTGACTCGCAACGAAAACATCATCGTATATAGATATTAAAAATCAACAGACATATACTGGTCCATATACCATTGCAAGGAAGCAGAAGATTGCCATATCCTAAAGACAAGACAAAAACACCACACATAAAACTAAAGGTTTGCTAACGAACCCAACAAATAACCCGGTATGACCTCATTAGCTCCGATATGGTTAAATGTTCCTAATACATTTGTGACATCCTTCCTATTGCTCACAGGTTAAAAATCCGGCGATTAGTCGCATTCCAGAATCTGTGCACACGTAAAGTAGCATTGCTATTGTGAATATGTGCAGATTAAACACATTGTAAAATCACATATTTCGTCATACATTCTCATACATTTTGAGTTTACATACCACTTTATTTGCGACAACTTTAAGACACATTGGTTTTTTTTTGGGAGGGGGGGGGGGGGTTTGTCGACAAACGGCTAAAATAGAACAGTATCACTATTTTGACCCTTTATAGCTGGCATTGATCTATATATACAGTATATGACATTTGTATTTCTTATTTATATACTTTATATAAATCTGTTTTTCAAATTGAGCTCACGTCTTCAATTTTCATAAAGTTTCACTAATAAATTCCGAAATATTTGCAGTGTTATGTGCATACTGTCATGTGATTTTGTGTTATGTGTATACTGTCATGTGATTTTGTGTTATGTGCATACTGTCATGTGATTTTGTGTTATGTGCATACTGTCATGTGATTTTTTTTTTAATAATTGTCAACAGTTTATAACAGAATAGCAAACTTCAATTTTGATGCCACAATGATCTTAAGTTCAAATTGTAAAACCATGAATTCTCGAAAACTAAGATTTAAACAAAACAATGAACATTTCATAAAAAAACAACAAATATTTCAGAGTTGAATGAAACAAATTTCACGAAATCAATTAAGACCTGAATTTATTTCTTTGAAGTCATTAATTTCTGTAAAATTAAAAGAGAATGTATATGTGTATAAGCGTCAAATCTATATCCAGCCTCAAATATGTGTCCTTTCCTCAAATATGTGTCCCGTGACCTCATGAAACTCAAATATATGTAGTCCTTTGTTTATTCAAATATATTTCCTTTCAATAAGGTAGACTTTTGTGGTGACGTCACGGAACTCAAATATGTGTCATTTGGTTTCACCTCATATCTATTTGACCACCAAGGCTTCGTCATTAATTTGACGAACAAAAGAAAGACTAAGGAACAGCGCTAAAATCTCACAAAACTAGTTTATCTCAGATCATTATTTAGTCCTGCCTTTTCCTCGGGCCATTTACATCTGACCTAATGGTATCAGATATTATACTTGATTACTTGTTGGTGTATAACGCTGCATGTAATTGATTGAGGTTACATGTATACTATCGGCAAACAGGAAGTGGTTGCACCGCTGATGTAAAAATTGCTTACACGTTACAACTCATTATTATCAAGCTCCAGACCAAACATGAAATCATTCCTTTCAAAAGAAGCCATGGAAAATTTGTCTTTTCCTTGTTCAATGAGTGTTAATAAGTTTCAAACTATCGGAAAGCAGGCAGGTGCTAAAGGCAGATGTTAAAATGGCTTACAAGCTCGATTACTCAACATTATCAGGCTGCAGACCAAATATAAAACCATTCCATTCCAAATAAGCAAAGATCAATTAAAAAATATTCTTTATACAATGAGTGTTGTAACATTTCAAATTATAGTCAAACAAGATTGATTGACTGCACGGCAGATATAATGATTGCTTACACGCTACTACTAAACATTATCAAGATGCAGACAAAATGTAAAATAATTCCCTACCAAAGAAGCCAATAAAAGCATAACACAAATTGTCCTTGTACTGTGAGTGTTGTGAAATTTCAAACTATCGGCAAACATGAAGTGGCTGCATGGTCGGTGTAAAATTTGCTTACACGCTACAACTAAACATTATAAAGCTCCAGAACAAATATAAAAGCATTCCTTTCCATAGAAACTAAGAAAAGTTTGACGAAAGTTTTCTACGCAAAGTATTTCGGACGGCGCAGGCCTAGTTGGTCTAATTATCAAAAGTGCTGGGCAAATTACAGATTGTGTTTTCGTTGATAATTCAACAACATGAGTTAAATATAACTTGCAAGTTCGAAAAAGCAAGATGAATTCACGGCTTATCATTGACATTTAAGATAAATATTAATATTTTAATTTTTTGTCTTGGCCGTATTTATCGACAGACTATCAGCAATCAACACAGTGCATGTCATCTGATGATACGTGTGTGGTTAAACCATACAAGTTACCCAGTTCATTTAGCACCGTATGTTTACACTCTGTATTAATTTAGTTAGAAATGTGATAAGTACCTGCAATCACAAACATGATTATAGAAGTAACCAGACGCTTGTGTGGCCAATTATGTCTCTCATCTAGAATCAGTACTATCACGCTTACAACTGATATAATTATACTAAGTATCACTTCTACATGAAACTCCAACATCCAAAAACTGAAATTATCAAAAAGAAACAGGAATAATAGTCAAATACAACTCATTATAAAAAAGCATGATTCTTGTCTAACAAGTAAACAGAGACCACACTGAGCATAGCATATCACACCAAAAATTAAGCAAGCAGCAAAGATTTGAATTTGTACATCAATATCAGCATATATACAATAACTCAAAATACATGTATACATGGAATCAAGGAACAATTAATGACTTTGATTGCAACTTGTATGCAAAATGTTTTTATAACTTCATGCAACTGTCATACAACTGAAAGGTTTATCTAGCTATAAAACCAGGTTTAATCCACCATTTTCTACATATGGAAATGCCTGTACCAAGTCAGGAATATGACAGTTGTTTTACAATCGTTTGATGTGTTTGAGCTTTTGATTTTGCCATTTTATAAAAGACTTTCCGATTTGAATTTCCCTTGGAGTTCGATATTTTTGTTATTTTACTTTTTTCAAACAAATTGTATTGTACATGTGCTATAGATATATAGAGTCTGTTAACAGCAACCTTTTCATAACAAATTGTATTGTACATGTGCTATAGAAAACATATATAGAGTCTGTTAACAGCAACCTTTTCATAACAAATTGTATTGTACATGTGATATAGAAAACATATATAGAGTCTGTTAACAGCAACCTTTTCATAACAAATTGTATTGTACATGTGCTATAGAAAACATATATAGAGTCTGTTAACAGCAACCTTTTCATAACAAATTGTATTGTACATGTGCTATAGATATATAGAGTCTGTTAACAGCAACCTTTTCATAAGGTTTTTAACTAGTAATCTGCCATTGTTTCAAAAGTTTGAATTTCAAAAATCTCTTAATTGATATACAAGCTTTTATTACTTACAAGTTAATTCCTTTCTCGTAATGGTATATTTCACTAAACTGGTTGACCTTACAAGAATCTGAACAGGTTAATCCATAGAACAATCCTATATAGACATGATATCCCGAGGTTTTGTATTCCTTTACCATCCAACCTGGAATACATGCTGCTATAGTAATCAAAACTGAAGCTGCTATACCTAAAATAATTGATATAAGAACTTTCATACTAATATTTGAAATTACAGTTTTTGAAAATGCTACTTTATTTGCTGTTTCATCAAATAATACTAAGAAATAAACTCGAATGATTTCCTTTTTCCTGATTATCTTACATCCTTTACATGTACACAAATAATATTAATATGTATTACAATAAATTAACATTAATTTATCACTAATCCATTTGTTATAAAAGGATACAATTTGATTTGAAACCGCTGGTGTGTCTAGTTATATTTAAATAATGTTTTTTCATAGATAAGCCATTGCGTTTTTTAAATCACAAAGTGTTTTGTAAATTCAGTCGAAAGATTTATTCTGCAAATTTACCGGTGTCTTACTCTGTTTTTACTGGAATATGACCACAAATGACCGTCATGTAATAAAGTATATGGTGTATCTCAGCTGAAAATCTGATGATCTCTGATTAAAATTGCATAAATTCAACTGTAAAAATCAACTAAAAACCAACTTATTTGATAAACTAAAACATAACTAAACATGATTCACCGTGTAGAACGCCACGTGCGGGTTGTTGGCTATGTTTGACACGGGGTGGCGGTTTCGAAGCGAAGAAAAACGATCATGATAAGTAAAAGTATCAAATTTTATATTTTGAGAACTGTTAAGGTGGCTGGGGTTGGATTTTGAAGTAGCAAAAAACAATTGGTCTAGATCTTTAATGAAATGTGCAAATTTGAGAGTAGTAAGTAATTCATGTGTAAGACTTTTCATATTAATATAGAAAAGTATGTGTTTTATCATATTTACGGCTGTATTTTCTTAAAAACACAATATTTTTGTTTGATTCATATTTTTTTTTTCAACTTTGATACATAAGGGGAGATAACTCAGATAAAGTAATTTTTATAATGGAAAGTGTTGTGAATTTACCTATTTTAATATGTAGCAAGAAAACAAGTCCGGTGACCCCATTTTTTCTTTTTCTTATCTGAAAGCATGTTATAAGAGCTATCACCTCACATTTTATCTTACAATTCTATGGTGTAGTTTTCTTTTTATCACACAAAATTGGATTTTTCATGCATAATCCTTACAAAATCTGACAATTTTGCATAACCTGCAGCGTGAAAAAAGTCCGGTGATCCATACTTTTTATTATATTTTGGAAAAAAGCATGATAAAAACTACATTTTGACAAAATATCAAAAAATTCTATGGATTTTAATTAAGACCCCCCCCCCCCCCCAATCCACCTTAACACCAAATCATAATCCCATAATCTATTTCCATCAATCAGAAGCAGACGTCCACAGTGCTCTGTTTTCTCAAGCACCCCTCCTCAGTTTTCGCGTTGCAGATTTTGAGACTTAAAATGCAAGTTTCAGGATAAAAACTACTTTTCGGCGACCTATTTATGTATTATTTGTTTTATAAGTTTCGAAATAAAACATAATTGATTAAAAAACTATGTAGAATTACTCCATCATGTAGAACGCCACATGGGGGTGCTGGCTGTGTTTGACACGGGGTGGCGGTTTCGAAGCGAAGAAAAACGATCAAGGGAAGTAAAAGTATCAAATTTTATATTTTATAGAACTGTTAGCACCAAGTATTGGACGGAAGATACGAACCCATAATCTATATGCATATAATCTACAGCAAGCAGACGTACACGGTGCTCTGTTTTCTTAAATACCGGTCCCCTCCGCAGATTTCCGTTTCGTAGATTTTGAGACTTGAAATGCAAGCTTCAGGGGTGTCATCTGTTCGTTGCTTTTTTTCTGATTTAGTTTCCTGTATTTTATTTTTTATACAATTGTTATTATTCATTTGATTACAAAGGATCACGTATTTGACCTTTTAGCCAGAGGAACAAGAAGACGTTGGATAAAATATGAAGTCACGTCTCCAGCTGGAGGAGCATTATCGGTGCGCCAGTCCCATTACAATGACAAAATCCAAAATTCTGCCAACAAGACATTTGGGAATGGAACTAAAAGGAGTTGGAAGATATATAAAAAAAGGAGTTGGAAGATATATATAATTATTGTTTAAAGATATTTTTTTATTTTAAACAATTCATCCTTGCATTTTTCAAAGTGAAAAATAATAAAATGTGTAAAAAGATGTGTTTTCGTCAAATTAGAACTGATTCAGAAAAACAAAGTTGTATGATTAGAATAAAAATAACAAATAAATCACACCTGATTGCTACATGCATACACGTTATATCTCTTAAAATTAGAAGGCTTGAATTGTCAACTACAAAATAACACTTTCAACAGTTACAACAACAGAACTAGAGGCTCAACTGCATTACTTTTGTTGCAAAAAGGGAAATGTAGCAGTTGTTACAAGTGGTTCTTTTTCGTATAACATGTATAAATGAGATGTTAAAAGAAGGCACTTTATGGGGTATTAAGTTGGCGGCCATATTTTTCTCATCATCCTAATCAAACGAGGTTCCTTATAAGACTAATCCTATTAAATATTGTCAAATTTTACCTAAGATCTCAAACAAGAAGTTCAAAATTTGACTTTCAAATCTAAGGGGAAAAAAATATAGAAATAAGTCGCCAAAAAGTAGTTTTTATCATGAAGCCTGCATTTCAAGTCTCAAAATCTGCGACACGGAAAACTGAGTATGCATGGGAGGGGTATTTGAGAAAACAGCAACGTGTACGTCTGCTTCTGCTAGCTGATAATATATTATGGGTCCGTACTTTCCGTGTAATACTTGTGGCTAACAGTTCTCTAAAAAGAAAAATGATAATTTGACTTACCTTTGGTCGTTTTTCTTCGCTTTTAAACCGCCACCCCGTGTCAAACATAGCCAGCACACCGCATGTGGGGTTCTACACGGTGTTATAGTTCTACAAAGTTTTTCAATCAATTATATTTTATTTCGAAACTTGATATGAAAAGTTATAGTCTTCTTAGTCTAAAAATTCAACACCAATAATAAAATTAGTGAAACAGGAAATTCCGTGAAATCTTTAATACATCGAATTCCAGTAAAGATTGAAGGACATTTATAAAATGGCTCTTGTGTGAAGTAAATTTAGGAAAAATTGGCCCTACCTCTTTTGCATTTTTAATTTTGATATTTTGATGGTCGAATAAAAAGATCTTTGTTTTTACCTGTGTATAAATGAAACATGAAAGTGATTCATGACATTAAAAAAGTTTATAAAAGAAAACACTTCTTACTTTAAAATTTCGACAGTTTTCTTTTCTTTTTCTTCTTTTATATAGATATAAGAAGATGTGGTATGAGTGCCAATGAGACAACTCTCCATCCAAGTCACAATTTGTAAAAGTAAACCATTATAGGTCAAAGTAAGGCCTTCAAAACGGAGCCTTGGCTCACACCGAACAGCAAGCTATAAAGGGCCCAAAAATGACTAGTGTAAAACCATTCAAACAGGAAAACCAGGTCTAATCTATATAAAAAAACGAGAAACGAGCATTATAAACAATTTTTTGGTACTTTTGTATCACTCGCAGCTCATTCTTAGTAAAACTATAAAAAAAAAATTACAGAGCTTTCTTTTTTAACAAATTTTTGCACTTTCTTTTAACAAGAAGTTTTTTTTATCTTTGTGATTACCTCCGGTTTTGTTTTTGATTTTGATACAATTAAAAGCTTATAAACATGAATGTTATCATTTAAATGTTGCCAGTATATTTTAAGTCGCCAAGGGTAACATCCGCTTGATGACTAAAAGTCTGTTAACAGCGAGTGGTATTTGTATAAAAGTATGATATAAGTGCACACAAAACGGTTTCATCAGATACCCTGATTTCAAAACTGAAGAAACAAAATCACAAAATTTTTTGGACATCAAATTCTATTGAAATGCCTATCTTTTATTTTTTGTTAGCAAGCATTTGCAACTACTCAAACAATTTGACATTTCTAACATTTCATATTGAAGATTAAAATAACCTGTATTTTGTATTTGTTTGACGTGAAACAGAACTTACTGGAACTAGAGAAGCCAACTCATCGGGAGCGCCTGATTGCAATCCAGTTTCTTAGAACTCCAGCATTTTGATCTTGAGGTCAAAGGTCAAGCTCACACGAAGGTCAGGGTGATATGCGTCACATCGCCTTAAGGTGATACACGTTCATATAATGCATATTCAAATATTTTTGGTGAGTTTGCTATTAATTTTGTGTGTCATGGATCCGAAAATTTACTGGAGCAGAACATCCATGAATATAACGTATTTTAATGGCGATTTTTCCTTGAACAGTTTTAGTACTCGGTTAAAAAAAGCTTTGAAAATTTGTCACGCCGTTTCATACATAATTCTACCATATTGATAGGCTCTTGCACAACGAACAGTACAAGAATGTACAACGGACGGTACTTAAGAAAGCAAACAGACTACAAAGAGAATGAATCGTACAGTGTCAAAATTCTGAGGTCAGTTTTTCAAGTAAACGTCTGCAAATGAAATGAAACAACGGTTTTCTCATTCGCATTATGTATTTTAAACAACAAAAAATCACAAAATACACAGTCGCATTTAGTGTAAGAGCCAACCAACTATGCTCTATTTGTAGTTTAATCAAGTTTGAGTTACACAGAGTGTTTGTTTCTCGATGTTTACAAGTAATTCACAGGCTTGTCTATTTAATATAGTCACAGGGTGTTCATGTAATATAAATAATATACAATGCTGTCAGGAGCAGTAAACTTTGTTTTCATAAACATTGAATACTTAACTGAACAGTACGTCAATTAGTCTTTTGTGAAAATATTAGGACGGTCTATCTACCAACATCGCGATGCAGCGATTAACGTCCGGAATCAAATGTACGGCGTTTATACCCCGTGGTATAGAACCATTCAAACATGTTACAATAAACTGTATTCAAAAAATCCTTGTGTTCTTACAATTACGTATTTGCT